CTACCTGTGATAGACTTCATCAGGGAAAAGTTCTCCCCATGGGTAATGAAATACACACATTTCTGAAATGGGAGATATCTTTTCCCACTGTATCAGAGAAGTAACTTCCCAAGTAAACACAGCAATAAGGCTTTAAAGGGGTAGAGTCGCAAGAAAAAAGCTATTTAGGTCCTAGTAAGAGTAAATGAATGCACTGAGTGGGTTTAAAACTTCACATGCAGCAGAAATCAGTAAGAGTTCAGATGGTCTATAACTCAGAAATGTAATCACGTGCGCTTTCAAGCACGTGAGCAATTCTATTAAACTAATCTGCTTTAATTGCATTAAACTCAGAGAGATGACTCATACGCTTAAACTCAAACATATGATTAATTATTTCCTTAAAAGAGGCCCAGTCCTGAAGAATGGATAATGCAAACAAAAGTATGTGTGCATTTAAATGTTTCAAGGTATTTGATGTAGTATTCTATAAACTAAAACATTCAAATTAGTTGAAAAATCTGTTCCCTGGATGCAAAACATCCTCAGAAAGCAGCATTTGAATTATTACACAAAATTATTTTGCTGAGAGTCAATATTTAATCATCTAATAAAAGGTTCAACTATAATCAATCACAACTAAGTGGAAGAGCTTGTATTCTATACAGGTGTTCAATATGCTCAACAATACAAAAAGCATGATCTTAAAAAATTCAAGTAGTAAACAGGAGCCAATAATAATTCTTTGCTCAGCTCTTACAAGTAAAGTGCTCTCGAAGGATTAAAGTTTCAGATGTCAAAGAATTGACTGTTTTCACACACACACACACAATTTCCTACAATGACCAAATACGTACAGTTCAGATGATCACAAGAGTGTATTAATTAGCATCTCTGATCATATACTGATTAATTAATTCTATTTATTTTGCCTTAAATTGTTGGGTATATTGCAGTTTATGTATCTTATAAACTTACCCTTTTACGCTGCTTCTTCAGTTGATCCTATATTTTATTTTGGGGGTGTTATTATTATTTACTTTAAACAAACAAACAAAAAGACACATTCACACATCTCTGAAACTAGAATAAAATGTTCAGTAAGATGCTGTCTGACGTCTCCATTGTGACAAGCAACATCTAAAAACCTACAGAGGTCAATCAGCCCATAATATACTGCACTCTATTCTGGGTGAAGCATGAAGGGGGGAAGATGAATAATTAATTATTTTTATGATAAGAAAGGAATTTTGTTCACAACTTTCTGTTCTGTTTTGGCCTTTAAACACGGAGTTCGATGGATGCTGCCTTCAGAGCCGGGCACTGTCTCACCCTGCCACATATCCTGTACTCACATTTGAGCAGACCTGTTGCCATACGGAAAATCAGGAACAATTACTCTAAATAATTACATCAACTTATTGCCGTCTGTTGCCAAGAGAAACAAGCCTTGTTGGTAATATCCACTTGTGTTTCCAAGTAACTTAATCTTTAGGGAAACTAAATACACTGCAGCACTGGCATTTCTCTAACCATAAATATCCTTTCTTACTGGTATCATCATGTCTCCCAACTGCATCTTTGTTCTGACAAGTTCCTAAGGTGATCTCTGCTCAGCTCTGTGTTGATGGCCTGGGAGGGGTGAGTTATCACACCTGGGTTGGGACATGCACAGGATGGGATCTGAGTACCAGCCGGGCAGTCCAGGCTTCCCTCACAGTCCCTGGGGAGAAATCAGAACTTTTCAGGTGAGATGAACACGTCACAGACGAGACCAACTGCGTGGCAGAAGCACCTATTTCTCCATTGATCTGGAGTCCAGATGGAGGTGGTGTCGGCTTTACTGACCTCTAAAGTTCGAGGAGATGAATCCAAGCCAGGTGCTCTCCCATCCAGGCTGACATGGAAACAGAAGCCAGCCCTTGGCAGCAGGGTTAAACTTTTCCTTTTGCAGCAGACGGATGTTTGCGATATTCACTCGTTCTGTCTAGCAACAGGCTGTTACACCGAGTTACCAGGGAAGAAAGGTGAGCTGCACCAGCACCTCCTCGTGCTTCTGCCAGAGGTGCTGCTGTCGTTCTCAGGGAGCTCTGCTGTGCCTTTCGGCGCGTTACCACTCGTAAACTTCCAAACCCTGCCCTTCAAGTGCTATCATCCAAATTGCTGCAGACAGCAACTTACTGTCTCTCGTTGTGCTTTCCACTTAAATTTCATTCCACCTTGAAAAGACAGCACTGAAATCCCTCTTTTTTTCCCCTCTCCAGTTTACTGCATTGAGCAGGCTTGCCCTCCGCAGCTCCTTGCACTGCAGTTCTCATTTTCCATCTTTGCTTTTCTGAAACCATGAACACAGCCCTAAAAAACCCACTTCTGCCTTCTGCACCACTTCACCGCAGCAAACAACTGTAACACGGTGACAAAGCACTTTCTCACCCAAATCACGCTGTGCCGTTTTAATTCAGCTGTGTTTCTAAGAAATACTTGATAAATTCTTTCTAACCTACTGCAGTTTCCCCCATAGCTAATATCAAACCTGAACTACTCAGATGGATACCTGACAGGCCCTTTATTTAAGGCTTATACTACACACAGCATTTTGCAGTCTTCAGTGATTCCTCCCTAAGCCAACTGAACCTGTTGATTCAAAAACTACCTTGTACTCCTTGCTGACAGCGACTTGACAGAAACTACGGAGCTTATTGCGTTTTCCTGATTTCTCCGTGCTCTCTGTCACTGATCCGTTTTGCTGATGTTAACCACCTCTACTCAACATCTAGGATCCTTCACTGGCTGGAACTGATCCATTTTGCTGTGCTTATCCACTCTCAGATGTTAACCACCTCTATTCAACATCTAGGATCCTTCACTGGCTGGAGGTATGGGGTTTTTTCACTACGAGAAACATTTCCCATGCCGCTGTCAGAACAGAACCCTCTTTTGCTTTGTTTTCTTTTTTTTTTGAAAACAGTACCATGGAGAGAACAATTTGACATTGGCATATGAACTTCTCACCTGTATAAGGAATACTGATGACAAGAAAATGAAATCCAGTGTTACAAAGGCCTTATATTTCTCTTTTTTCCACCAGGCCAGTTACTTTCTCCATGACATTCTCTGTACATGAAACTCTAATTCATCACGCCTCGCTGTGTTGAATCAGGATATTAATACTCTCTCATATCTGATTTGGACAGCTATTAATGCCCTTCACATTTCAAATTTCTTCTGAGGACCCATTTCTGTAATGATATCTACAGAAAAAGAGCTACTCTGTGTGTTCTGTTTACCTTCAATTATATTTTATCGAATTAATTTAGTTCTATAAGGAAAGCTATTCTATCAGAGCATCTTTATGCTTAACCAATAACTTAACGATTGAATGCTTCCAGATACATCTTTCCATCGATTATAATTTTTCTCTACCACCATCGCTTCTGTTAGGTCAAATCCTAAACCATATTTTAAAAAGTTACTTGGCACAAGGAGCATCTCTTAGTTGGGGTGTCTGGAGAAGTCACATTTTCAGTACAGAGCTCCACCACTCCAAATCTACAGCTGATAATATTTGAACTAAGAACACATAGTCCCTATTGAATGGATTTAATTTTATTCCTAGACCAACCACCCATAAATTGTTTTACTTACGCTCACACACATAGTTTTCTTTTAAAAAAATTAATACACATTAGTGAGCAGGGTACAGTGTGTATTGAATCAATTCTCTGTAATGCAAGTAAGGAAATATCTAAGTACACAGAGCAATCTATGTAGCTCCTCTTCTGCTTATGGAGGTTGTCCTTTTGTCTTCATAATTCTAATAGTGTACACAAACTGGCATTGACAACATACAGTTATTTGCTTCCTAAGGTTCTATATTTGCTTTGTATTTCTGAAGGTCACAGGGACTCAGCCAAACCTGAACAGTCATTTTAATTCCCAGTCTTTTCATTTCACTGCAATGAAATCTTATAGATTTTTGTGTAGACTTATTTACTGTTTTTCTTTTCCTGTTGGATAAGTATACAATAACTAAACTAACTTAAATTAGGTAACTGTCACCAATATTTAAAACTTAATGTCATTTTTAAAATTACATAAGTAATCCAAGCATAAAAATTATTCTTTATGATACCATTTCAGAGCAGTGGCACCAAATCCTTATCATACAACAGCATGTGACTCAGAAGCATTAAACACATCATCACATTTTTCCTTTAAGTTACATATTCCTTGAGTTACATACAGTGCCCTTTTTATATTTGGACATCTTTACAAAATACAAAATGAAATATTCAGCATCTTACTACAAATTCAGTATATTCAATTATCTTCTTAGCTACCCATATGAAATCCTACAGATTTTAGAAATCAGAATTTGTCCTTTTGTATTCAGATACAGCAACGTGTCTACCTTACATTTCCCCTCTAGCCTTGCCAGCACAGTATTTTAAAGACACTCTCAGAGAGGCCACCATCCCAAGGGGCTCAAGGCACCTTGATATAAAGACCTGTTTGGATTTAAGCACAAATTCCAGTCCAGTGTAAGTCTGTGTTCTTTGCAATTTCAAGAGAGTCTTAAAGATGAGCACATACCTAAATACTATGCTGAACTGGGGCTAGAAATAAGGTTTATCCTCAGAAGGAGCAGAATAGTTGCAATATCCCAGTACAGATTAACGGTGCTCTGTGAGATTTATCTTTGAATATAGCAGGAAGAGGAAAGTCTCCATTAATAAAAGGGAAAATCATGAATCAGCAAATGCTGGAGACTGTAATGAGCAGGAAAACAAAAAAATGAACCGCAGGTTTCATCCTGTGCAGCATTCGGTTTTCAGAAAACAACAGGTTAATTGGATGTTTTCAAGAGATAGCATGCTAACCTTTAACATGATTTGCTTTTTACTAAAGACAAACATCATCAGTGTTCTGGGAGAAGTCCATGATACATGTCTCCATGATCTAACATTGTTAGTGTGAGATTACTAATTTATTATAATATAATTTGAATGAGAAAAACTTACTTGAGGGCATTGGCATCTCCATGGACCTTGTAGTTGTCTGCACTGATTCTTGAGATAACTCTTGTGACAGCAATGAGAATACCAATATTGACCTGAAGAAGAAAAAGAAGGAACAAGACTTGGTCAGCAAAGTAAATACTGACCGCGACAAAGGTGCGAACTGCCCCGGGAGCGTCTTGTACACATACAACAGAAAGCGGGAATTTTGCGTGATGTATTTATTTGGCAAAAAGAGGTTTCCAGTTTTGGACTGGTATAGTTTCACCCTTGTTGATGGATTTCCCTCTCCCCTCTACGGGTACTTCTTGCTTGTGTTTTCTTTCCTTCAGGAAGTCCTTGGCTGTTCAGGACAAGGCTGGATTGGTATCTTGCTTCACAGCTAAAGAAGTGCTCAGGATGCCTACTGTACAAATCAATACCCTAAAAATAATTTACCAGCTGACAAATTAGACAAGAACTTCAGTGAACAGGGACATGTGTCTGCACATTCTTTGGTTTTGTGCTTGTTTGTGAACAGACTCCAGAAAACACCTTCCTGGATGAACTTCCCAGTGTACAATTCCTGTTTCTTACCAAAATCTGCTTGCAATTTAAACACAAGACTATTTCAAAACAGCAATGAGGAAAATTTGTTAAACCTGAATCCTGCTCTTCAAGAGCCCTGCTCTTTTTGATGTCAGGCCCAGCAGAAACATCAATAAAATGAGAAGAATTCCCACTAGAAAAGTAGGAAATCTTGAAAAGATTAACACTATAAATGTCTAACAAAAGAGTTTGCTCTGAAGTCACAGGTGAAGAAGGAATGAAATTTTATCACTTAAAGGAAATGTGGCAAAGACTGTCTTGCTGTGCAAAGACCTTGGGTTTAAGGAAAAGAATAAAAAAAAGAGAAGACAAAATGTGAAGGTAGAAGACATTTTTCCTCCTCTTGTCCAAAGTTTCCAAAGTTACACATCAGCTACAAAGCTGATATTTAGCATCAAGTTAAGAACAAGGGTAGAATAAAACTATCCTGAACTACAGAACAAAAAGAAAGAGAAGACTTCAAAATAGTGCTGTTGCTCAGTTAAAACTCAAGACTCATACTCTATTTTGACATAAATATTCTGAGGATGACAGGGTGAATTAATCAATGTTTACACTTGATGATAACTATTTCCTTGGTATTTTTCAAATCCCCTGACCACTCTTTAAATTTTAGATTTCTAAGGGCAGATCATCACCTGGTGTACAGCAGGAGCACAGCTGTGATAGTTCATTCCTGCCACGGCTTCTCAGTCTGTCCAAAGACCATCCTGTGCAGCCTGACAGCTTTTCAATTACAAGTGTACTTGTTGTTCAATCAGCTTTACAGAGGTGAATAAGAGGTGAAATGCAATGGTCTTGGGATCATTTTCCCTATTCCCACCAAATTGTATTTTGTAAATATTTTTATAAATTCTTTGAGGTGGTAATAAGCATTTTTGAGAAACCCACTTAGGTGCTAAATATGCATGTTGACTGAAGCAGCAAACGATGAACATGAACAAGTTCTACTTTCTCTTCTTTTTCTCTCTTTCTCCTTCAAACTCTCCAATTTTCTGCTGGATGTCCACCAAATGATCAATGTCGTTACTCCAGCTTTTCACGGGAATTGCACAGAAAATGCCTCTCTCTACCATTAACTTCTTTCCTGACACATTATCTTTCAGCAGCCTTTTTTAGTCTTTTATCCAAAATACCTTTTGACACTTCCCCATGGATGTCTCACTGACAGTTTGAGCTCATTCTGGCACAGTTGGTCCGTGATCCCTTCTACTGGTGACTGCAGACACCAGTACATTCCTGCCAGCCTCACAAGCACTTAACCCTAATGCTTTCTTCCATTCCTAATTCTTTTTTTAGACACTCCTAGAATTTGCTTTCTGCATAGCATTTTGAAAAATATGAAGATTATGCTTAAATAATGTACATCCAAATATTCCCCCCAAAAATCCAAATAAGTAAAAAAAAAAAAAATAAAATGAAACCTCATTCTCCAAATTCTGAATTTCCTACATCTTACAAAAGTCAGTGAAAGTTTTGAATGATAAGCACCAACAAATGAATACTCAGAGTCTTGCAAACTCTCACTCAAACTGGACACAAACCCTAAAATCCAATCATGAAAAGAGCACAAGCAAGATAATCTCAAAGGAGACAAGTCAGATGGTTTTCTGAAGCATTCAGCATTTCTAGATGGATTTTAATTTCTTTATATAAAATAAATTAAATTGGAAATTAAATTCCTAGGTATTTTGGATGGTCCAAAGTGGAAATATAAAAGGCCTTGAGCTTCTCTTGTACAGTCAGTGTGACTCTGTCCTTTCCAGGGGGTATCAGCAACATGTTTAAAAGATGAGAAGGAAACACTGAGATCTCATTGCTGATAAAAACCAAGGTACTTGTAAAATTAGCAATGAACCATTACACTCAAGTCCCAAAGTTCTATATTTACATCTCCTAAACAACTTGAAAATTTTTGTTTAGGTATTTTGAGAAATTTGAGTAATCTCATCCAGCCTAAATAAACAGATTAGCTACAAATGTCTTCCTTTGCTAATACTTCAGTGAGTAAATCATGGAGGTACTTCCACTGCCCTTGTAATGGGAAACCAAAATACAGCCACTGAATTGTTCCTCCACTGATTTTTTTGGCATCTGACGTAAATACTTTGCCAAAGATTTGAATAGGAGAATGCTTAGTTGATGAAACACTCATTATGCTTTAACCTATATCAGAATATTCAAACCAGGAGAATAAACATTGCTATAAGTGCATTGTACGTAGTTCCTATTTTTTACTTTTCTGAAAGGCCAGATTACCTGACAGCTGCGGTTATTTTGCCTTAAAATTACACATAAACTTAGAATATTTTTGCTTGCAGGTACTGGCCACAATCTACTTTAAAAAAAAAAATTTAAAAAAAAAATAAAAAAAAAAAAGCTAGTAACATTAGCACTTGTTTCCTAACTCACAGGACTCCTTTCAAGGCAGCTTGTCCAACTCCAGGCACTCGCAAGTCTCTGCATAATCAGCAGGAGCTGCCAGTTCCCATTATCGTAGGCTCGATCCAAAGCCCACAGAGCCCATGGAAAGATACCAATGACATCAGGGAGCTCTGGCTCACTCTAGCGACAATTTCATCTGACTAAATATTGTCAGATTAGGAAGAGAGTTAAATGAGTAAAAAGGATCTCTCTAATATCTCTTCTCATCAAAAAATTGTCACATCAGATACAGCGAAACAAATTCTTTTCCTTTTTTTGCAGGGCTTTCACCTAGATTTTCTCCAACTCTCATGAGATTTTTGTTTCTTTTTTAGTGCAGCTCAGAAATCCCATGTGTAAAACCCTCTGATGTGGTCTGTTGCATCCTAACCAAAAAAACGCTTGGCAGCACAGAGGAACTGGAAAAAAAAAAAAAAAAAAAAAAGGATAAAACATATTGCCTTAATTAAATCCATTGACTAGCTTTCCTCTAAAACCACAAACTATTTTGGGCTCCACTTGAGTTTTGGGCAATGGTACAGGGAGTTATAACAGACTATTCCAGTCTGAGGTTTAACATACTCTCTCCTGGTGTGAGTTAATTGGATCCTTACCACGACACCATTAGTAGCACAGCAATGCTGCACGCTGTTGCAGTTGCAGCCCATCGCTAGGTCACATCAGAAATCATTCCTGGGTATTGTGCGTTTCCAAACACAGCTAGTCCATTAAATTAGATTGATGTTAAAATACGGGAGAATGATTTTGGAAATCCTGATTCCACTTTTAGCAATCCCAGAGAAACTACAGATGGAAGAGACTCAGTTGAGTTTTTTTAGACTTCTGCGTACATGACTTCATATTAATGCATGTAGTATCACAGCAGTCAGAGCTGAATATAAGAGCAAAACTTTGATGTTAGAAAGGAAATACACAAGTAAATAAATAATACATATAAGGTGTAACAGATCCGTGACTTCTACCCTTTACTAACATTAATCCTTAATTTTTAATTTCTTACAATCTGTTCCCTGGTTCAAAAAATGTTGCATGCTTTCCTGATGGTTAAGTAAGAAGAAATCTAATTTTAAAATAATGAAAGAATTTAATTTTAAAATAATACAAGTGCTCATAACTGAGTACTAATAAGAAAAAAATGAGAAGCTTAGCATCTGTGGTCTGTTCATTTTTGCTCAATCCCCTGCAGCATTTGTGTACTTGATTTCAGTGACTCTGATGAACCCTACTGTCTCAGGGCCTTTAAACACTCTGGATCCAATTCTGTCACCTTTTTCTACAATGAATGTCTAGTAAGGGACACAAATTGTCACTTTTCAATCAGTGGGCCTGCCTGCAGAGTAAGATACCATTCAACATATGGAAATTATCCTAATTCTGCCCCACTACATGAAGGTGTGAATAAACACCAAGAGGCAACAGAACTTACTAAATCATGTCTGATCAGCAGGTATAAGGGAGAGAATATTTTTAATATATTGAATATTCATAAGCAAGTACTAACTGAAGACAGTGATGGCAATCTCAGCCTGGGACACAGCTTCCACGGACTCCCATCCGAAGACACTGGTTACAAAGCTGATGTCCCCACAGCACAGAACTCTTAGCAATATGTTAATGAAAATCATTTAGCTCCATAAAAATGCTGTTTATCCAACAGACTTGTAAAAATCCCCCAGGAAAATAGCTACTTACAGGGAAAACAATAGAAAAGAATTGCCACTACAGCCCAGCATCTCCCCCAGCAACGGATCGCTGACTGTCTGCAGCACACCCACCGCTCCGTGTACACAGATGCTTTCCGCAGAATTTCCTTAATTCTGCCATATCTATGGAAACACACCACGGCAGCAGATGGTTGATAACAAACAAAGCCTTCTGCCAGAAGTTTAATGTCTTGTTCCAAAAATTCAGGTGCTTTGTCAAGTTTTTTTTTCCCATTGAAGACCAACTTTGGCTCAGATTAGTTTGGTTTTCAAATTAATTGCAACAATTTTTTTTGCAAAGCTGCCTTAAGAGGATGCTATAGAGAGTTGGCTGTTGTGGTTTAGGGGGTGGAGGAGGGTGATCTTTAAACCTTAAGATGCAGGTAGACGCCAAAAGACCTACACACAGAAGGAACTATTTCCTTCATCCCTTGACTCAAACCCCAAGGAAAGAGCACTTTGCATATGGGAAACCATATGGGGCTGGGAGGTTCTGTGCATTACTCCCTAGAAAAGTATGTGTGAGTATTTTTTCCCAGCCACGCTCCTGACACATCATTCTGTTTTAAGGCTCCATGATGTCTATATTGCCTGTGAGGATGTGGCAGGACAAAAGCAGACTGGGTCTGCCCAGTCTCTAGGGAGTGGGAGTTGAAAAGAGCAGTCCCCCTGCTTTCTTGACAGTGTAATCCTTTTTCTTGGCAGAGAGAAACCATCGATGGAAGCAGTCAAAAACTGCTTTTTGAGAAGTGTTTTCAGAGCTAAACACTAGTTCATGCAACTAGTGGCTAATTTGTTATTTAAAGAGCACAGGCACACATGCACACACAAATAGTGTTTAGCCTTATTTCCCTATCGGCACTAACACATTTTTCAGCTAGCATAGTCAATGCCCAGAGAGAATAATTTGTCAGCTAGCTTGCTGCTATTTTGGGCAGAGCTGGGTTTCAACTATTTAACAAATTGTTCTACGTGGATCAACCTTGTGAGCTCACTCTCTTTCTCAAAATATTTGTATCCCTACAAGAATATAACGAGCTGCACGAATATGATATATCATAAATGAGAGCCAGACAGTTAAACCCTTACTTTCACTGGCAAGCAGCTACGCGTGGAAATTGTTGAAGGCTATGCTCACTCAGGTGAGTAAGCATTTCACTATCTGGCATGCTTTGATTAATTCTGTCTTTGGACAGCAGCTGGGAAAGATTTTATTTTACTGCTTGCATCTCATTTCCTCCTTTGCTGCTGAACTATGGCCAGAAAGCAAGTGCTAATGTGAGAAGGAGACATTTGAATATTAGATTGTTTTAATTGCTCTCCAATCCTCAATATCTATACATCTTGGAATATAAACTCACATACAGAAGGTCTAAGGTACAGGCCAACAAGGAATTAAGTTTGTTGGAACAAAGTCCAGAGCTGTCCAGCCAGCTCTAATTCAGTGATCAGCATTTCTTACTTCCACGTATGTGCTTTCAGTTAGGTAGAAGAAACTCTGCACAGGGACTTTCCAGGGCTGCCATTAATAATTTGGTTAAAATGCTAACATGAGACAATTTCTGTCACATCAACATAGCAACTATTTTCATTATTTTTTAATATATGCTTATATAGCCTGTTTTTTTCAGAGGCTGTATCTTGGGTGGAAGATGCTGGGCTGGGCTGCCTATAAGAGGTGCTGTTTCGCCGTGTCCCAGGTAGATGTTCAGATGTCCACTCATCTGCAGTGTAAAATTGCCTGTGATGGGAAAGGGCAGCCAAGGAGCCACCTTCTGCTTGCCAAATACTTATAGAGATATGCAATGATGACAAACAGCTCTATATGTGTAGCTTGCCTTCCTTCCTTTGGCTTGTGTCCCAGGATTGGCGGGGTTTTTCTGTGTGATGAAATTTGGGGAAGCTTCTGTGTGCTGTGCACAGAAATCCTAGCTTTCTTAGAGAAGTACCAGGTACAGTCAGTGGCTCCTTTTGATGCTCCTCCATGCAAGGAGTCAGGATCTTGTTTCACCTGACCCTCAAACACCACAGTGGGCAGACTCTGGTCTAGATTTGGGCTCATGCCTGTAAAATCTAAGCAAAGCTTTGGAGACAGTCTGATTTCACTGATCAGTGAGTCTATTCCACACCTGACCCTTAAACACCACAGTGGGCAGACTCTGGTCCAGATTTGGGCTCATGCCTTTAAAATCTAAGCAAAGCTTTGGAGACAGCCTGATTTCACTGATCAGTGAGTCTATTCCAGGGTCATACTGTCACTCTGCCATAACAACCTGCAGCAAAAATCATATTTAACCTGATCAATTGAAGTACTGGAAATGCTGCTGAAGAGGAACTTAAACACCACAGTGGGCAGACTCTGGTCCAGATTTGGGCTCATGCCTTTAAAATCTAAGCAAAGCTTTGGAGACAGCCTGATTTCACTGATCAGTGAGTCTATTCCAGGGTCATACTGTCACTCTGCCATAACAACCTGCAGCAAAAATCATATTTAACCTGATCAATTGAAGTACTGGAAATGCTGCTGAAGAGGAATACTCTCCCACTTAATCCCTGCAAACACCCCTGACTCCCTAAGTAATCATAGTGATAAAGCTACAACTCACTGTAAGTTAATGTGTGGGTATAATTAAACTGCTGTAAAGCATCTGTGGATCAGCATCGGAGCCACGAGCCCGCACCCTGCCCTGGATGGATGATGTTCATTACAGCTGGCAGAGGCGTTTGTGGCAGCCACCTGAACCGCGGCAAACCTGCCTTAACAGCCCTGCCTCGATCAGCCGGACAAACTGCTGTACCTGACATCGGATTCAAAATCAGAGGAGTAGCACCAATTCCTTATGACTGTAAGGAGACGGGTGTGGACGCAGCTTGTTACCTTCCCCAAAGGTGATAGCTCCTGCCATGGCTTTAACCCATCCCTGACAGCTGCTGCCTGCCTGCAAACTCTGCTGACGATCACCATCTTCACCGAGGGCGGCATTTGCGAAAGCAAAAGCTTAAAATAACAGTGGGCTGGAACCAGCCTTTCAGCTTTTACTGGTGAATATGAAACACAAACCACAGAGTTTGTTCTTTTGAGGGATCTTTCTGAGAATTATTAAAACTCCCGAGATCACTTGGTTCCACACAGTCATTGATGGCCCCAACGGGGCTGGTTCAGAAGAGGGCTGTCACAGTATTCTAAGTTGTATTTTTGTCTTGGAACAGTGAAATTGATATACTTAATGCACAACTGTGTACACACAGAAATTAGAAGAGGAACAAAGTAACTCTGAACCATTCATCTCTGTTGTTTCCCTGGCCTGGGACAAGGACTGCCGTCAGACCTTCAGTGAGTTCTGCTGTCGACAACACAGATGTGCGAGAAGAAACCAGCAGCAGCCGTGGCTTTACCTACCAGAATTACAAACAACGCCGGTGCCACAAAAGCCCAGATTGCTCCATTCTCCAGTGAAAGCCAGCAGCTGCAGAGAAAAATCAGAATGATTTCAGATTAAACACATGGTCATTTAATTAGTAATGTTCTTAATTAAAAAAAGAGACTAAAAGAGTGTGCAGAAAGACTGATGAATTTTAAAAGCAAGAGACATGACAGAGCATCAATAAGAGGCTCTTTTTCCCCGCACGCTCAGGGAACCTGAGGCAGGATCTCGTTTTAATTTATATCTTGCAGAGAGTCAGTGACAGCTCTCTGCCCCAGCACGCCTTCAAACAGCATTAGAGGAGAAAGATGGGAAGAAAGGAAAGGTTTTATTTGCTATTTGTTGTTCTTGTATCCTGTAGCACACACATTCATGTCGGTGCTGTGAGCACTGTCATTGCCGCAAGAGACAAATCGAAGCCCTCCCTGCCCAGCCCGGCTGGGGGTGAGGAAGAGGCTGGGGAACACGCTGGCAGCTTCACACGTCCTTCCTACAAAAGTGGCAATGTAATCTAGTTCACCACACACAAAAAATAACTCTTGCTCTAAATCTTTTGCTTTCATTATCGTAGGATTAAATCCTGGGGTGTTTTCTCAGATAAATTTGGTTTCCTTTTTCCAAATTAGAAAAGGAACTTAGTTTTCAACATTTTTAACAATATCATTCTAGATCTTCAGATGTTTAACTGCAGTTTTCTTCAAATGATTAAATGTCTTAAATTAAAGATTATTCTCACCTCGCTAGAAATGTTTCAGCCCATGCTTTGCTCTGTGCATGGGGTAAGCAGGGAGCTCGCTGCAGGAGGTCTTGTGCCTCTGCAGGAAAAGGGAAAAATGGGCAAAACATCTCAGGAGCTTTTTGTGCATCATCTCAGCAGTGAAAGGCAAACCTGAGGCTTCTAGGGCTAAGAATATGCCTGTACAAGAGTCATGGTTTTTCAGGCTATCTCCCCTCAGCAGGATCTTGCAGAGACACAGCCCTGTTAACAGATCTACAATTTTTTCTCCCCATCAGATTTTTCATCCTTATTGCACCTGGAGTGAAAACATGTTCATACTCACTTGCCACTTTCTCCGTAGCTCTCTAGGGATGATGTTGTAGAAATTAGACAAATCATTAGTGGGCAGCCTGCAAAAAGAGAAAGTCGGTGGCAACATTAGCAACCAAGGTACATCTTCCAGTAAACCCTGCAAGTTCAGCCAAATTTCACATGGACAACAGAACAGCTCCGAGTAATTTCAGAATGAAGTCCGACTCGACAGCCTCCTGCAGCTGTGTAATACAATACGTTTTAATCAATTAACGTCAGGCAAGCAGAATGACTATTCAATAAAGCACTAGTTTAACAGTTAAAACTGAATTAGAGCTAATTTCATTATGAATCTTAGTCCTTTTCCAGCCTGGTTTCTGTTTATGTAATTTCTGTCTCGTGTTATTCAAGCGTGATATCCTGTGGAGCAATATCAGGCTTATTTTAACCACTTTCCCCCAAGTAAGTGCACCTTGTTCAAGAATTCAAAACAATCTAGAAAACAAGGTTTCTCACAGAGGTGCATGACTAGCAGGAGAGATGACAGAAATCTAGAGCATCACACGCAGCAGCAAGAGACAGAAGAGAAGAATCATAGAATCATAGAATGACCCGGGTTGGAAGGGACCTCAAGGATCATGTAGTTCCAACCCCCCTGGCCTGGCAGGGCCACCAAACACAAGCAAATAATAAGCAGCAGCAAATAATAAGAAGCAGCAAATTCAGATCCCGCTCAGATGCCCAACCAAGACTTATTTTAACATAAATATGTATTAGCTCTACAAGATTGCTGTGTTTAAAGTAGACTATGTTTCCAGATGGGTTTTGACAGTCCCAGTATGCTGCATCCTGGGAGGTGGAGGAGTTTATGGGATTACACAGGAATTACACAAAGGCAGATGGTTCTGGTCCTGCTGTCAGGGGGAGCTGCGTGTCCCTGGTCCCCAGCACTGCAGCATCCTGTTGTGCCACTTTAGCACAGCTCTCCAGTCCAGGAGCTGGAGAAGAAGTGAGTTTTTTTCTTGCCAACATTTCAGAATATAGTAAAACCTCATCTCTTGAAATATTAAATGACTGTCAGTTAATTCCTGTATGATTTAATAAAATCTGAAGGTTTGGGCTTTTATCATCTTATGGAATTTAATAACCAGGTCCCAGACAGAGTATTAGACATGATAGCTTAAAGATTCAATTTTCTTTTGAATTCTTCAGCTTTTCTGCATGAGGCTTTTACAAAATTCTCTGACAAGCAATTTCTGCTTAATCTTACCAATATCATCCTCACAAAATTATGTAAAATTTTCCTGTACTGGCAGAACTATAATTTTTGGAAGAAGTATCTTCCTTCTTTAATGATTGCGGCTAGAAGCACATTGCATTTATAAATAAGATTATATATTATAAATAAGATATAGTTATTTATAAATAAGATATAGTTAAGAAGCAGCATCTACAGGCACTGTTTAGGTCTTAGCCCTTGAAATCCATTCTGCAGGATGGAGTTTAATATCCCATGAACATAATTCTGCTCTCCCACACTTGTCCAAACCAGGAATAACCCCTTTAGAAGTAACATTTGTCTAAGATCCAAGCAAAGGCAAGATTTTAGTTTACTGTCCCATTTGTCTATTTAAGAAAGGAAAATCCTACACATATTTGAACTAAATCAAGAATTATTATATTCAACAGAGCAAGTAAGCACAGCCATAAGCCCACCTGCTGAAACTGTCTGCGATGGGTATGTGAGCTACCTGGACTAAAGGTCCTACAGGTATGTCTACATATTCCCACCCACATCTCAGTTGCTGAGTAGACACTGTTGATTGGCACTGTTTGTCTTCTGATGCAAGTTGTCTTCCCAAGGCAGGGACTTTGTCACAGAAGCAAAAATACCTGTTCCCAACTACCTCTCCTCTATACTTCTAGTCTTCCTTTTTTAGCCAAGTCAAATGCTGGATATTCAAAGGATTTAGTGTGACTCTTTATCAATTTTAAGTGGCAGTGAAGAAGAAAATGAAATACAGAGTTCCTTTGAAAGGTAATAAAACTTATGCAGGTGAAACAGAGAGCAGTCATCTGCATAAAAAGAGCTGTTAAGTCAGTGAGAATAAAATGGTCTGCAGCCTACAGTGCAGTGTTTGCCTTTTCCTTACATTAACAAGATATTAAGTGGATAATGGCAATGGTGGCAAAATCGAGGTTTTGTTACAGTGAAATGGGAGTGTTTTTCCTTTAAAAAAACAGCCATTCAATAAACTCCATAAAGTTGAAAAAAATATATTTAGCCTAAGGGGGTCATAAGACTTGATCTGGAGTGAAGAATTCATATGGATTATATATTATACACAAAAGTAAGTGTGTTTGCTTAATCTTTTGTCAGTAATAATTACATAAGAGCTGTGAAGTTTAGTCTCCAACCATAATAGGTAATGTTAATGTTGTGCTGGCAGTGGTTATCATCCAAGAAAGAATTACGGTTATGGTTTTTTACTGTGTCTGGATGTTTGCTCAGTTAGCAGATGCTACAAATACGCTCACCAACCCTACTCCACATCACCGAATTTATAAAGCAATGGACCCTGCTTCCCAGAGCACCGTATCCGAAGGAGGGGTCCTAGCACACCTATCTGACAGCTGATCCATGGCACTGGTGCCACCTGTGCCTCAGCCCCAGAGCAATACAGCATTATACCAAATGGGGTAAATCAACCCACACAGAGCCATGAGCTGCTGCAGCTCCAGCTCTCCAGGTCCCCCACCAGCCAAAAAAAGCCCAAAAACACAATCCTTGCTGAGAAAAAATTCTCCCTGAATTCAGCCCAAATACAGTCACGAGGGTGAAGTCTAAAATGAATGTCGGCTAGGCCCTCTTCTTCAGCATTCAACCTCACATCCAATCCATTTCCTTTATGTTTCTGAGGCACTAATGAGAAATGAAATGGAAAATGCCTGCAGATCTGTATGCTGCATTTTGAAAGCTTCGGTGTCTTCTATACAGAACAAAAAACCAGACAGGCTGCAGAAACTCTGTGGCAGACAATTGGAAGCAATTTTACGACATTAATTCTAAAAGGCTAAATATATCATTTATTGAGAAAGATGAAGCATCAGACACAAATGAAAGTATACTTCCTTCCAATACTGAAAAGATCTGCTTTGCTTGATGGGGAGAAGTCTATTCTCCCATTTGTTTTGTAGAAGTTAATTTTCTATTATTTTCTTTTTCTTCTGCTGCATTACATCGTATCTATGCAGAAGTCTGGGAGTACAAGCAACAGCAAATAAAGAAATTTAGGTTTTTTGACAGCTCAGGACAAAATCTTCATTCTAAGGCAGTCTCTAAAGGCAGGGAAATTGTCTGTAATAGGAAAACATGTTAAGGCCAAAGTGCCACAGCAAAATCTCCAGTATCACAAACTCTGTCATCAGTGTCCTACAAATGGGTGGGTGGGAAAAGTTTTCCTACAATAATCTGTGTGTGTTATGCTGAATCACCAAGGCAACAAACTATTTTTTTTTTCCCCAATCAATCTCAAGGTAGTTTTAAAGGTAGGATATTATCACCTCCCTCAAATTGCTCTTCTTTTGAATTCCTGACAACTACAGTCTTTGACGTAATTTTAGCACCCTTGGGACTAAAGATAGTACAAAGGAGCTTCGATCAACTCTGCTCATTCGGTATCCTGTCTCTCTGATTACTGTTGAATTCATTTTACAGGAGTAATTTCTCTCAGAAATCTCTATGGAAGTTAGGAGATCAGTGATACCCAGCGTAGAGTTCCTTGGCCCTACCTCCTCTCATTGCTTCAAGTTTCAGTTTATCTTTAGCATAGACTGTAAATTTTTACACATGTACCTAGCCCAGTGTTTTGGCTTAAATAAGAATGATGGGTCTGGGTTTTTAAATTCAGGACTGGGGTTTGTCATTATTCCAGGAATAACTATGAGTTTGCAGAAGTCAAATGCAATCACACTTCAATTAAAAGCAAAGAACGAAGAAATGAACGATCTGTTTTGACTAACATGAGATGAGACGTCCTTGTCTTCAACTTCTTTCAACCATCTTTGGTCAGTATAATAATTAGCTAAGCCAAAGTGTAAAAAAAATGGCCATTTTTATTAGATGCTGGAAAATATATATCTATTGTGGTCTCAGCATGGCACAAGAACCCTCGACTTCCTTTTGACAGTTGCTTTCAAGGCAAACTTACTCTCATTTTAAGAATCAAACAACATAATTTTAGGACAAAACCTTTTTAGCCTCTTTCCCCAGCCTTGCAAGACTTCTATTTAGATGTGGGAGTTTTATGAATACATAGAACTTCCCTCTATTGTGCTTTTATCAAGTTCATGAAGGAACAACCCAAACTCTACCCCACAGAACAGGAGGTGAAGGCAGTACTGACACTTGATCTCTAATTAAACATTTCTATTCATATTCAGTGCCAATATGCAAACAAAAGCAAAAGCTGGGAACTGACAAACCTGGGTGTCCTTTTAAGCATTTCAGTAGTGAACACTGCAATGTCGATTTTCTCTCTAAAAACATCATTATTCAGCGACATTATTACCAACTGAATGAGCATCAGAGTTACCTACCAGACAGTGAGTAGCGCTGCTGCTGACTGAATGAAGGTTGTCCTGATACTTATCAAGAGACAAACAACTTGGAACACAGTTGCCAAGTTAAATTGCTTCAGGGATGTTTAGACACACTTGCAGCAATGACGTGGTGTCAGATATGATTGTGGAAATTCAACACTTAATTCAAATGTAAATACTTTGAGCTATATAGAAAAAATAAAGCAATGCAAACTACTTTCCCAGCATTGCAGATTTACTGGAATTCAGAAAACATACTTTTTTCCAAGTCATTGCAGGAAAAATAATTGGAATGTGCTTTCCAAAATTAAAATATTTATCCAAAAAGGGATTTCGAAAGGTTTACATAGAAAAATGTATTACTGTTGTATGGATGATATATTCCACTATCTGCCTCCAACAATACCTTTGCTACATTTAAGAAACGCTGCTTGCCGCTGGGTTTCTTACACAATCCTTGCCAAGAAGAGCATCACTAGAACTCAGAGAAACCTCTACTGCTGGTGCCTCCTGTATTTTGCTACATAAATCTATTTTGATGTCAAATACCTATAACTGGGCCTGAATGAATTATCCTCCAAAGCATCACTGAAAATACCCCTGAAGAGCCTTTTTAGTCACCACATTTAACATCCCATTGGGTTACATACCAATAGGTATTGTGCTAATTACTGCTAATTGAGTGTAAGAATCATATTGCAATAAAATGAGGCAAAATGCAACATTTAGTCATATCGCAATCCAATGCCATGTTTATCCTCGTGTCTTCTAAATCAATTTGCAGATCACTGCCATTTTACAATAAATAAACTTTACACAAAATTCCAGAAAAAAAAGGGTAAAGGTGCATTGCAGCACATATAAATATTTAATTTCTTTTCATAAGGTAATTAATGATTGATTGTAAATTGAGTTAATCAAAATATCTGCTATAAGTAAATACCCCAGTGAATTAAATGTCAGTTCTTAATTATTTTATTAACTGTTGTGGCTTTTTACATAATTTTTCTGAAGGAGAAGGAGTTCTCAGGGGATTATGAGAACATTTTCTTTGGTTTGATCTGCTTGGATGTTTATTCCATGAGATCTGGCCTAGTGAGGTCATGGAATTCGCTGCAGTGGAATTAGGTTTAGAGACTATATATTTTAAAGTCTGATTACGGTCTGAAATATAATGCATTTTCTCATCCAGCGGACCTACTCTCACTAAGGCAAACTATGATCATAAGATGACAATTTTACATATGCTTCTGAATATAATCTTGTCCTACAGTGAGGAGACTTAAAGCAAGCAGCTACTAAATACTTACCCCATCCAATTCCATAATAATATAAGTGTTTGCTCTCTTCTGACCCAAATACTTTGATCACCATACTGTAAAGGTGAAATCCTTCCACCAGCATCCATGCAAAAGCACTCAGGAAGAAAAAATGAAGGAGAATGGCCAAGATCTTGCAAGGGACCTAAGTTAAGAAGAAAAATTAATACATTACTTCTTTGTGATGCAGTCACATTGGTTTCCCTTCTTTTTTTTTTTATTTCTGTATGCATTTACATGTTAAATGCTAAATTACTGGATTAAAACAGTCTTAAAAACAAAGCACTAGAGAATTTCCTTTCTCTTCAGCATTTTCAGATAGCTTCAGAGTAACACGTCCTCTTACCTTTCAACAAAAAAATCAAAAAACATTGCCAAACATGATGTGGACATCCAAACTGATTATTTGTTTATAGTAGTAGGAGCAATACTCTTAGTAAAGTTTACAAAATATTTAATAATTCAAAACTGAAGGGTCAACATCCTGCTGCTGGGCTTGTACTAAATACAGGGGAGTCAAAGAAGTCAGGGTGCAGGCATTGTCCTCTACCCTGCTCTCTGTTCTGTGATGGTAAAAAACCCAGCATGGTTCATGACTCATTTTCTGTGAAGAACCAGTAGAAAGTCAGTGGAACAGTTAAGCCTAAGAGAAACATGGAAATAGTAAAATAAAGTGCCACATTGAACCTGCTCTTTAGTTACACTTTGCCATGTGGCTTTCCTATTTTGCTGCTCTTCATATCAAAAATAGAATAATATACAAATTAAATCATATTGTATTCCAGTGTCCGTCTGTCCTGGTTAGAAATTGTGTAAAAGTCTGACATGCTCCTCCATCAGCAATACTAACGTGGACATTTCAAAAACTCTAGCAAGCTGTCATTGGCTCTTGAGTCCTAATTGCTCTCTGGTGGGCATCTCGTTTGCCCAACTGTTTGAATTCTCAGTTTCCCATAGCCTGATGAGCCAGCTGTATATGAGGTTATATTTGACAAGAAGTCATCTAGTAATTAAAGTAAAAAACTCAAAATCTTCACTGTAGGGTATTTACAGACAATTTGAATAGTCCTCGGTAGTCCTCTGTTAACTATGTGCTATCAAGATTCCGGAAACAGGAGCTAACACAAAAGTTTAAGCAACAGAAAAATACCATCTAGAAAGTGAGCCTGCCTGGTGTGAACAGGATTATCTATTTCAAATTAAACTACAATGTGTTTGGAGGTGAAACAAATGCTTCTCGAAAAGAAAGGGATGCCATGACTAATGCAGCAAGAAGTAAAAACATCCTCTTGAGTCCTGTTTACACCTGCCTCAGTGCTTGTGGCCCACTGGGGGATGAGGAGATGCAGTCTGGGCTTAAGACATGGCTCTTCCTTAAGTTGTTCCTCAAAGAGATCTTTACATTTTTCTCTAAGTCTCCTGTCAGCCTACCTTAGGAAAACATGACATTCCCCATTCCTCATGTATTCACACAGCACGTTCTCCTTTCCCCTCTAATTGCTTTTTGAGGATGCCTCACCACGAGTGGTTTCTGCATCTACTTCTGCGATGATCTACTGAGTTGCAGATTTTTACATAAAATTCATAGCAAAGTTGCTACTCATTCAGAATTTGTGCCTTAATTATGACTCTGAAGATACTCATAAACGACAGAATTGCATTCTTGGAAAGGCATTGAAAAGCTGAGATTTTACATATTAAAAACAAGCAGGTGTCCCTTGCTGTATCACATGATGCACACTGCTTTCAGTAAAATACCTGTAAAAAGACAGATCTCATTGACTGTCACTCTTACCTGGGAGTCTGTGGAAACAGAAAAATCAGTCCAGACAGTAAGAAGACATATCATATTATAGTTGTTGAGAAAGTAAAGCAGACTCTCAGAAAGCCCTCTCAGAAAATAATTCATTTGTTTACTGAGGACAGTCTTGAAACAGAGCTAAATTCGTGTACATTTTCCAAATTCTACTTATAATAGCGTTTTCAAGTGGCAATCTCACTGCATTATACAAAACCCTCTGAAAATGGCCTTCCCTGCAATCTATATGCTGCTTTGATACACAGTCTTGAATTTCTGCAGATACATATATCATAAACAAAAGGAGCTCATTTCATCTCTCTGGAAGCGTTTCAAGCAATGCTGTGCAGGAGTACCGGGCGATAAACAGCTCGATACACTGATGCAGAACTGCAAATAGTAGACACAAGAAATTTTCCAGTTGTTCTGGAAAAACACAGTGCTGCCTAACACACTATACTTCAATTTTCTTTTTCCCGTGTCTAAATAATACTTCACTTTCTCCCATAAACATGCTCAAGTCTTTGGAAGGCTTTAGTAGCCTAAAGAAATGTTGATGGTTAAGTATTTTTAAACATACACAGTTGTTTGGGATTCTGTCAAAAAAAAATTGTGCTCTCTAGTCTACAGAAGCGAGTAACTAAGAAAGCAAACGTCTCTGAAGAAACAAATCCAGCTATTGCTGAAAGTCTAAGGGAAGCCATTAGACTGGCATACACATAGCAAAGACATCTTAGGGACTTGGCAGTATAGGAAGAAAACGCTGCATGCAAAGATATTTGCCTTCTCTAGAAGAAATATAACCTGGTTTCAGGAATAATTGCCCTCCTGGAATATGCCATGATCATTTAGGACTACGGTTTCAGCACAACTGATGGTAGGTATCAAGGACCAGCTTTTAAAAAAAAAATGTTCTTGGATGTATTAAAAAGATCAAAGTCATACTTGTGGAAATACTAGTTTTGTGATTAAAAATTATAAAATGAGAATAGCTGTAGTATAAATTGTAAATGATTAAGTAATGCATCTGAAAGTACCAGGGGAATACTGCATGCCGTATCTGGAATCAAAAACTAAACATCCCTAGAGACAGAGATGGGAAAAGGATGGATAGTCTAAAGGCAGTCATGCAAGAAAGTGACGGCAGCTCAGGCGCTGTTTGCACGATGCCATCCCCTCCTGCACTGCATTTCCTCCAGAGAACTGGTACCGCTTTTCCTCTCAAGCAACGGCGCTTAGAAAAAGTTTAGCACGAGATACACTCATCTTTGGCAGAAGAAGAAGATTAAGAAATTCACACCTTCTAGTGTAAATACTGCCTCCCTCTTTTTGTAAACTACCATTTAGCTGTCCAATTAAAGCAGCAATTAAAGGTATTAAAACCGATGTCAGAGCTAGTGAGAGCAGAGCATGCAGAAGGTAAGGACTAATAAAAGGATGAATCACAACACCCCCGATCCCAAGAGGCTAAAAACAATAAAAATAGAATTGTAGCAGATAGTACGTGCATCAGGCTTTTCAACTTCAAGATCTTTACCGTATTGTGCCCTGCAATTATTGCTGTTACAGAGGAGGTAGGGCTGAAATATCCATGGATTCTGGGAAGTGTTTCTCTTTGGAAAGCCCGTGGCACAAAACAGGTCTTGCTTTCTGTGTGCTACTGTTTCAATTTAACTGACGTTAGTTTTGAATAGGCTTAAGAGAAATTAAAATATGCACTCATTAAACTGCAACTCGAGCCTATGTGAGCGTTTCACAAACTTATCTAAACAAGCAAGACACCCGTGCATGGACAAGGAACATTATCAATGGAGGTGGGCACTGGGACAGGTCTCTGGAGAGCATGGGCTCTACCTACAGCCAACTAAAACCAGGAAACACAACTAGTATTTCACAGTATTTCAAAAGACTGGAGGTGATGCTAGCCTTGATAATGTGTAAAGAAGCTTTTACATGTTATCTGAAGTGACTCGGTTGGATTGTCTGAAAATCTGGAGTGGATGAAAAAGAAAACACTGTGCAAATAAGACACCTTCTTATGCTGAGTGAACCTTTTATTGCCCTCGAGCCTATGTCCTCCCAGCAGAGTTTTAGCTCTATGATTAGAGAGAATTATTTTAATGCCTGGTTTCCATTGTCTTCGGTTTCGAGTTATGCCTTTTGCTGCTCTCCACTGTCTCCATTTCATTTTCCTTCTAAACCGTTCCCTACCATTTTCTCCCTTGCACATTATCTTACTCATTCAGGACCTACCTGAATGTTAAACAGCCAAAGAGTAAGAACTTAGTTTTACAAAGTGCTTTTAGATCCTCAGGTAGTAATGGCCTATGTAAAACCAGACATTACTGATATTTATAAACTTAACAGAAGTTCAGGGGATCCCATTTGAGCTGAATATAAATTTAAGTAGCTGCTGTACTGGCAAAATGAAGAGTGTGCAAACCTCATATTTATTTGTACTGAGAATAAAAATAATAAAAGGTTAATAGAAACTGCTCACTGCTTGGCAAAAGTAATACGGAGCAACTGCTGGTCACCAGAGTCTCCAAGTTGTGGCCATTACACAACCAGAGCACACGGGAAGATTGCTTTAGAATTGGTTTTGTTTCTGCTTTTTGCAGGTGGGATTTTCCATCAACAGACCTTATGTTACTTTAAATAGTATTTTTTAAACACAACAGTGGAAACAAATTGATTTTACTGATTTGTAATATTGTTAACCTGGCATATTCATCTTAATCTAACCCAGCTGTTTTAGATGTCAGTTTTAATAGTTTAAGTCCCGGTACTCTGCATAAGGAATTCCCACCTGTGGTAGCAGATCCATAAAATCAATCTGTAATTTCAAGTTCCAATCTATGTGATCAGGCAGAAAAAACCTATACATGCATAGAACTTAGGTACCAGCTAAGCGATATGAAGGTGTTTGTCATTTGTTTAAAGGGTTGCCTTAGATTCTCCAGAAGTATATACACGTTTCACAATACTGACCACCTCAGATTAAACTCTTACACAGCGATACTTAGAGGTAATGCTTTCTGCCACCTTTGGATGATTAAGCAATAGTTGCTATACCTTTCTTATTGATTATTATTCAGGTCAAATAAACATGAATGATACTTAGAAATCATTTATTTTTCCAGAGTCGAGATCATGATCAATAAATCTGCTGTTCAGAAAAACCGTGTATTCTACAACACAAATAAAACTTTATGAGCAAAAAACAAAGACCTTCTGTTTCGCTCTCCAAGAAAGCAGAAGAAATTGCCAGAGTCCCATCAGGAAGCTTATTACCTTCCAACAAGAATAAAATTACTTTCTAATGTAGAAAAAAATGGCAAACTGCCATAGCAGAGAAGAGACAATTAAAAAAAAAACAAACCCAACCCTCCTACTCCCCCAAAAAACCCAACCCAAAACCCTAACAGAAATACCAATACCTTACCTAAATATAAAATCCGTACAATTTTCTCCAATACACAATTCCCACAGTTTTCCATACAGAGAATGGATAAGAGAGAGCATAAGCCATGCCAGGCAGAAGTCAGCCATGCCATCTGAACACACCACTGAAATGTTCTCCATCACTGTGGTGGGTTTTCCATTTGATGGGTACATATCTCTCTTAGTTTTGCTAACAGCCAGACATGGCCGGATACTATGATAACACTACTTGGATGCACAGAAGGCTTTATCCAGTGTTGCAGAACGTAATTTTTGGCTAAGGCATGATGAAAATAGATCTCACATGCAAGACACTTTCTTACAAGTGGCATGCTGCATTCATCCCATGGAGGCACCTCCCAAAAAACCACAATCACTCTTTTTAGCACTTACCGTTCCTGGGGTGAACTGAAAGCTGGTGAGAAGCAGGATCTGAGCCACCAAGACAGCAAAGGACAGATTGGCATGGATATGATAGCGCTGGTTGCGGATGGTGCTGACAGACCTGGCAGAAGATAGAAAGACCCATGAACAAAAGAGCATTCCAAGAAGTGCAAACGTATTTATGATTTATCAGCAAGCATTTTGATTGGCTTTTGGTCCTTCGTTTTGGTGGGGTTATCACGATGGTTTTTGAGCACTCCTTCCACCAGCATAGAGAGGTACCTAACTTGTTTCTTTGATATTCCGCTGCTATCCTGAAGGCAGCAGAAAGACTGATTTGCACAGTGACCAGCTCTGCTGATGACTTGTGACAGAATATTAACAAAGGGCTAGATCCTGAATGGTGCTGTGCTGCCAAGGAAGTCACATCTGCACCTCACAGAAAGCATACAGCACCTCGCACCATCTAGCGCACACTGTGCCACAGTTTGTGGTTTTATTTTGTTGGCATTTGCCTGTATTAGAAATAAGGGAACACGAAAAGCATTGGTTACAATTTTGACTTTACTATTAACAACTTTTGAGCACAGGACCTATAGCTGCTTATATGGATGGGCAGTGCCTATCTGGACAGAGACCTGACCTTGATTACAACATCATTTGGACATATCTCTCTTGGCTTTGCAAAAACTGGCTGGAAATCTGACAAGAACATGCTTTCCTGGGAGTCTTCTGAACTTGTGCTTCTGTTCTCATCCAGAAATAGGAAGTAGAAAACAAATAAAACATTTATCTGAACATTTCAGGCCTTTCTCATACCTTGTGCTTCTGTTCTCATCCAGAAGCAGGAAGTAGAAAACAAATAAAATGTTTATCTGAACATTTCAGGCCTTTCTCATAATTTTATTCTTCTCTTTAAATAAAGAACAGTACTAGTGATAACAGGTTTTCTATTTCAATCTACAATGCCTGCCAGCCCCTACCATCAGCTTTAATCGCTTCAGGAGACCTGGACTGTTTGGCTACGTGAATGGCAATGCTTCCTCCACATAACAGTATGTGCTCCCATCTTTTTGTTGTATCACACTGGACAGTGAGGACTTTTGCAAGTGCTAGTGACCCATCGTGCATGTCCCCTGTGTCATGGTGACACAGACTGGACAGTGCAGACGACGGCTTGCTGTCAGCCCTGCTCTTCCAGCACTGGTGTAGCTCCATTAGAAGGGCTCCCATCTCTTTGTTGTATCACACTGGACAGTGATGACCTTTGTAAGTGCTGGTGACCCATCGTGCATGTCCCCTGTGTCAGGGTGACACAGACTGGACAGTGCAGACAACGGCTTGCTGTCAGCCCTGCCCTTCCAGCACTGGTGTAGCTCCATTAGAAGGGAGCAAAGAGGGAGACAAGAAGAAGTATCGATGTCCTAAAAGTAATTCAAAGACACAGTTTGTGCTGCCTGGTTCCAAAGGCTTTCTAATAAGGAACTTCATGTAGCTGCAAACTGGAACATCATTACCAGCAGGCAATCAGGACTGCCCTCCTGGGAGGTGACCATCATTGCCAGTAAGCAGAGTAGCAAAGAACTTGCCAGATTCCTCTCCACTTACCTCATGGTCCTCTAACACTACATTGCAAAATTTCACTTCAGCAGTTTAATGAGGCCCTGGTCTCCAGTGAAAACCTAATCAAATTATTTTTAATTGGCAGCTTGAGTGATCCTGTACATAGGTGGGGTGCTTAACCCTGTGACAGTCAGCTGGCTCC